GCACGTTCATTATTGTTACAAACTTTGTAGACTAAATAAATTTAGATGGTTTGTCCATTTGATATTTATAAGTATTTTGTTAACTAGGTATATTTAGATAGTTTGTACATTATTATTACTACTAGTAATATATAATTCATTGTTCTATCTTAATATTTTTTTTTGTAATTGTTAACTACGTTCCTTATCGTAATTCTCTTCAATGTAGAACTTAAATGTTTGCTTTGTTACATCGCTGACGTATTTGTTTATTTCCATTTGTAGGGCTGAGCTTGGCTTTGGCTCTTTTTCCTATGTTTGTGTTACTAAAAACCTCATTTTCTCCTCGTAATCTACAACTTGGAGCTCTTTCCCACAGCACCCACTTCTTCAATAGTTATTTAATGCTCTAAGTCAAGTTTTCAGTTTAGGGCCCTACCATTTGGACTAACTAATTTTTGTGTTTTGTTGGGTTAGACAAACTCTTGTCTGACATCTTCACTCTGTGCCTTTGCACTCTTCTTTCTTTGGATGATTGGCTCCTGCTTGTTTTCTCCCATTCACAGTCTAGAGACCACATTCCTCTGGTCCTACAGGAAGCATGGGTGAGATTCCTGATCTTACCTCCGCTCAATACCCCATTCATTTGGGGAGATTTCTTTTTTCCGAATCTCAGTCAGGCCCAGCCTTCTTTTCTTCATCTTTGGGTTTTGAGCAAGCAGTTCACATATCTTGCACCTCACTTTCCTTACAGCTTGAGCTGTTCTAGCTCTTTTGGGATGTGGTCATCCCTAGAAGCTCTCATTTCCATTGATCAGGCTCGTATGCATTCCCTTTGGTGGATACTCCTTGATCAGTGGAACTTCTCCTTTGATTCCTGGCTTGATGATTAGACAATAGACCAGACCACAGTGGAGTTGCTGCTTACTCCACCTCATCTGGATTTACATCTATTCGTGGACTCATCTTTATAGGGTTGGGGTTTTTACTTCTACCCCTGGGAGATTTCTAGTCTCAGATCATCCAAGGAGTCTTCTCTCCGTATCACCTTTCTCGAGCCTTTGGCAGCTCATTGATCTTTGTCCCACTTCCTTCCTCTTTTAAGAGGGGGTTGAGAGTGGTTATGGTACATTCCAACATCTCCACAGTGGTCACTTATATCACAGAGACAAGGAGTACCAATTCCAGAACTTTGTGCTTTCAGATATCAAATCTCCTTTCTGGGCCCACAGTCACCACATTGTGGTCTTAGCTTGCCATTTTCCTGGCTCCCTGAACGTGTTGGTGGTTATATTATCTTCTCCAAACAAGATTTTTCTTATGGAGTGGTCCCTCGATTCAGATCTTTAGGTGGGTATGTTCTCAGCTAGGGACACCTTTGGTCTCTCGTTACTCACCTGCTAATTCTGTGGGTGGTCACATTCTGTCACATTGGAGGGGTCTTCACATCTATGCTTAGCCTCCTACTTGACTCCTCTCCAGGGTTCTATCCTTATTCCAAACTACTTTGTGTCTCATCTCACTGGTGGCTCTGTCTTGGCCGGCACAACCATCATTCCCACTGCTCTGACCTTTACTTGTACAACCTCCCCTCCCCTTATCACAATCATGATCCCAATTCTGTTGACCTCAGTTGGACATTATTGATCCAGATGACATTAAACTCTGTCTTCAAGCATGACTTTTGTCGGGTCCATTGTCCAGAGACTGACTCCACATGTTGCATCTTTCCTTTCCTGATCCATTGGACTTTCTTCCATGTCTGTTTACCACAGGGGATAGTACATCTTCTGCCTTTGATCTCTTTGAAATGGTTTCTGAATTTCCATTTCTTGATTCTCAACAGCTGGAATCGATTTTGTCCTTGTGGGGGGTGGACTCTGATCATCCTGTTCTTTTATTCCATGCCCAGTCTTCCTACCTTCAACTTACCCCATTGACTATCCTATGGTACTTGTCCACTATCCACATCCATTCTGAGGTGCTCCACCGAGATCCTGATTACCTCCACGATGGCACATTTGTCTTCTTCAGCTCTTTCATTACATGCATAGTTTCTCTGTTGTTGAGATCTTCTGGGGAGAGATGCTGTATTGTCCCAAGTTTATTTATCACCTACTTATTTTTTGGGATTTACGTATGACCCCTTTTCTCCAACAATCTGAGACTTTACAATCCTGTGTAGAATCAGTGAGACAATCTTTTATTCATCACTTGTCTCATTCATAGCCTAGACAGTCCCCTATTAATGTTTCCTGTCTGCTCCTTCCCAGCCTTTACTAGTTTCTCCCTCTAAGTATTCCTCTACTCATATTATTCAATGCAGATAGGCACGTCACCAACAGTACGACTACCCAGTGGGGGCTTGCTTGACTCATTTTGTTCCCCTCTGATGAAGTTTTGCCACAGATATTTGGGTATTATCTAAGAGACTTGTTACTCACTTCCTTTCCCCTCTTTTTTTTGTCTTGGGTACCCATATCCTTTCAGTTGCCTCAAAATCTACCACTAGTTAATGTCTGTCAGAGACAGTACAGAAGTTTTTCTCCCACAAAGCCATCAAACCTGTACCTCATTCTTCTCCAGGTCTATGGATGACCAAGGTATGATGCTTATCTGCATATTCCTGTATCTCATTGGTTGAGGCACTATCTTTGATTTGTTCATCATGGGTAGTGTATCGATTTAGTGCCATACCCTTTAGGCTTGCTTTGGCTCCATATGTGTTTTTTTTTAGTGGCCAAGGCTTTTGTCCGACATGTGCATGCTCAGTGTTTGTGATTACACCATTACATGGACGACTGGCTTCTGTTAGCTTGTTCCAAATGGAAGTCCACCCATCACACTCATCTGCTGCATCTGGAGGCAGCTCATGGGGGTTGGAATCAAGTTGAAGAAGTCCTTCCTTATACCTACCCAATATCCTGTCCACATGTGTATATTTTCCAACACTTATCTTGGTCAGGCCCAACCCTCTCCTCTTTGACTCCATTCGATGGAGCATTCAGGTCTCCACACCATTATTGTTTGCAAGGTGCTGTTATTTTTGGGGATGTAGTCTTCTATGGAAGCCCTTGTTCCCTTGGGTCAAGTGCATATGAGGTCTCTTCAGTTTATTCTGCATGACCAGCAGAACATTGTGCAGGATCCCTTGGATGCTCCTATTTCTCTTCCTCCTTCCTTTTTAGACAATCTGCATTGGTTGTTAGACAAAGCCCACATGTTAGAGGGTGTTCTGCCTCCTCCGCTCATCTGGATTTGCATATTTTAATGGACACTTCCCTCCATGGCCAGGGCATGGGTCGGGCAAAAAGCTTCAGGGCAATGGTCTCTGGCCAAGAGGTCTTACCATATTAGTATCCTGGAGCTTCTGGCTGTACACTGTGCTATGGTCATTTTCTTGATCTTTCCAAGATTTGTCTGGTAATGATCCACTGTGACAATTTTATAGTGGTAGCTTATATCAATCATCAAGGCGGCACCTGTTCTCATTCCCTTTGTGGTCTAACCTTGGATATCCATTTTTGGACCCACATGCTTGGTATTTTTCTCCTTGCTTATCATGTTCTGGGTGCATTCAATCATGTATCGTCTTTCCCAATTGGACAAAATTTATCTGACGGAGTGGTCTCTCGATCCTCATGTTTTCCTCCTCACCTAGATGCATTTGCCACATCAATCAATACCAAATTACCTCTGTTTGGGTTTCTGGTTCCTCATCCATATACACTGGCTGTTGATACATTCAGCCAGGATTGGACCAACAAATACCTTTATGTGTATCCTCCTGTCTGTCTCTTTCCTAGAGTGATATCAATTATCCACACCACTCCATGTCCAGTCCTTCTGATTTCTCCTTACTGGCCAGCACAACTGTAGTTTCCGCAGCTGCTCCAGCTCCAATCTGCCCTACCATTACCTCTTCCACTGGCGTGCAGTTCTTCCAGATTGTTAATGTGGTTCTTCACTGCCTTACATTACCTCCATTTTAATCTCTGTCCTTGTGTTTAATTTTTCACTTATCCCTTAAGACTTATAGACTTCATGTGTAAAACCAAAGGGGATAGCTGTCCATTCCATAGATTGAATAAATCAGGAGTTGTGTGCTTTTTAAAATAGGGTTTTCATGGTCACTCATTGTCTCCAGTGTTGACATTCCTTCAGACTATCCACCACATTTTCTCTTCCCCCACTTTCTTCTAAAGGAGTACGAGAGTCCTTACCATTTTCTAGTTCCAATCCACTGGGGTGGTGGACCATGGGGGTATCCTCCAAAATGTGATAGTGATATCCAATACAGAAAAATAATCACTCCATTCAGCTTAGAGTAGGGCGGTGGTGTTCTGCTTGTGTAGATGATGAGATATCCTCCAGTCTGATGCTCTATATCTGAAAAGGTCTATCCAAGGGGATATTGGAGCTTTGGAGTGAGCCGTCAAAATTGCAGTTCACCTCTTTGATTGGGATCTCTCATCCTACCCCTATATGAATGTTGGTTTCAATTGGCTGTGTTTTGGATTCAGAGCAGGACTAATCAACAAGTCCTCACACATGTATTACTGGTGTCTCTGTTCCCTCACTCAATTGACCTCAGATTCATTGCTAACATGTTGTGGGTCAGTGTGGATGGACATACGGGTTGCTATGGTTCTTCCTCTGGTGCTACCCCTTGAAGATTTACTGTGGTGGGGTGGTTTCTGTCTGATTGGTTTTGAGTGGGATGTTGCACAGTACAGAGACACCTTGATTATTTTGGATTAGTGGAACTAGGGAGTCCTTACCACACCCACTTTCCAATCACTGGGGTGGTGGACAGAGGCTTTTCCTCCAGAGTGTTCAAGTGATTTCCTCTAATCTTGGAGAAGAAGGGCAAAGTTGGGGGTCCTCCTACCCAGGTCCCTGGATGTTTTTCCCAGATGTCAGTAGGAGTGGCATCAGCCATCTAGTTGGAGGTGTGCATAACCCTTCTTTTTGATCAATAACAATTCTGTATATTGTTCACTACCTACTCGTGATTCCGAATGCAGAGTGTTCCCATCCTGGGTCCTTGGTTGAGCACAGTTGTTTTACATCTTCCTCTTAATTCTGGTGGCAAATGGAAGGCTCCTTGCCCACTTAGTTGGAGAGTGAGGATGAATGTTCATAATTCCAGGCCAGATGAGTTCTGTTCATTTGGTTGAGTTAGGCATCCACTATCTCGTTATTCCGAGCCTGGGGTGTTGCCTTTCGGACTTCTTTAGGTGGAGGAGAAGGTTTGTCTGCTTCAGAGTTGCTTGCTTTCTCATTGTGATTCCAGTGGTTTGGAATGCATCGCTCTATGGCTACAGGTTGGAATCCAATCAAAAGTATGTCTATATCTAATGTTGCAGTGCAATTGCTCTAGCCACCAATGTGGTATAGGGACCAAGACCCCTTAATTCCATCCCAGAGTAGTGAACCTCAGCCATCTGGTTGGGGCTGGCCAAAAGTGATGATTACTCCTGTACTATTCCACACTTAATACAAGAACTAAGTTCTGGGTAAAGAGCATACTTGTTTTGGGTGTAGTGCAGTTCCCCCACTCAGGTATCATGCTTATCTTGGTACACCTATGATCTGTGTAGATGCTTTCTGTATGGATAATGTTCTCACTAGCCCCTTCACCTTCTGAATGTGGGATTCTAGCTATAAGTGGCATCCGAGGTATGTTTTGGAACTTAACATTTTCCTAAATTGAAAATGTATTTTCAATAATACTTACCTTTGCTGACACTCTTTCACCCTTCCTCCCCACTAAGGGCCAGTGTTAGAGACTGGGATAGTTTCAGTCATGATAAAGTGATAAAATTATCTGAATGAGGTGGTTATATACAATACCAGGATAGAGGGTGCATTGATTTAGGTGGAGAGTGTCACGAGACATATATCGCCAAGGGCAGTTGAATGGGGTATAAAAGACTGAAGCAAGCGCGAAAAAATCAGACTAATGCGTCGATGGGCAAAGATGAAACCCTGGCGGTAAAGTAATAGCTATAAATGGCAGCGGAAGTAAATATTATTGGAAATACATTTTCAGTTTAGGAAACTGTTAACTTAGTTATGAATAGACATCTAATACCCATGCTTTTGCATATTGTCCAGTTCATTTTAAAATTCTTGCAAATAGACAAATACTTTCTTTGTAAATGTTTATAATTACCAATCTACTCTGCAGAAGAGCTCAGCTATAATGCTTAAAAACCATAATTTTTTTTAAATGTACATGGCATTGTGCAGGTAGTGTAATATCTGGAAATAACATGCTACCTACAGAAAGTTTGGAAAACTTTTTATTTTGTGGATAGCGTTATTAAAATCTGTTGCTTATGGAATGTTTGCTTTGAAAATTGGGGCTTATTTTATCTTGCAGATAATATTAACATGTCAAAAGAATGTATATATGATTAAACAATTAAAAGTAGGTTTCTTTTACTACTACTTTCTGAAGTGCTTATTTTTTGTTTCAGTTCCCCTCCTCCCCTGTTCCTCATTCCATATTTTTCCCCACTGCTCATGATTCCATTTCCAGCCAGTGTCTTTCATCTACTAGGACAAAACATTTAATTCTTGCTCTTTGCAATCATATTTAAACTTTCTTTGTAGTTATTTTCAAAGTTGTGTTTCATTAGTAAATGATCATAAAAGAGCAGTAACGAAAGTCTGTACAAACTCAGTAGAAGAAACAAGGGAACTGCTTGAAAATCAAGAAATGGGAAATATGTTCTGATAAGGTGATGGTTTTTTAGCAAATGTAAATCTATTCTTTGAAATGGACAGAAAAATTCTAAAAACTTGAAGGGTATTGTTTATGAGAGAAATTCCTTGGAGCTGTGCGGATCTTGAACATTTTTCTTCATGGACTAAATAAATGTAAGAAAATGATAAATTATTAATTCTAAAATATTTCTGACATAAAATTATTGAAATACAGTTAGAGTTAAGATATGAAATTGGCTTAAAGATTGGAGGTTCAAAAAAATATAAAGTGGTGAGAAAAATTCATTGAGCAAAAGTGATGGAAAAACAATGTTAGAAAGCTAGAGGAATCCTTGTCTTTAGGTACGATAATTTAGGATTAAGTTATTTTTTAATTTGACCTTCTAAATTTGGGTTATCATCAGGCGTATGTTCTGTTAATTCCATTTGAAATTTTATATACACCGATGTAGCAAGTGTTTTGTACAAATACAGAGTGCTGAGTTGTGTTATATTAAAATGATTTTGAATATGCAGTTCAGCAAGTCACGTGATAACCGTAGCCATTATAAAGCTATAGTGGAATGTAATGTATCAGAACTAGACATTTTCACATTGTTTGGTGTTCATGGGTAATGTGATGCCACCAAAATTCAATTCCTTTTGGGAGGGATATGTAACACCTCTTTCTGACATGATATTTATACACTTAGATCATAATGATCAGTTAAGATAGGGAATTTAGAATTTCTAAATCTGGGATATCTTGTATTTATTGGCATTAAAAAATAACTGTATGTTGATCATCTGGGGCACCAGGATCATCCAGAAAAAGACTAGCAGCAAGTTATACTTCAATTGGGGTGAGTAAAATGTGGTGTCTTGTAATAGTTGAGAATCCACAAACACAAAAGTCAGTGTCAAAAGCCATCCACACATCTCGGGCAACAGTTCACAACATAATTAAGTAGGCTTTCCTTCTGGAAAAGTGACACAAGTCACATGTACACAAGTTGCTTCCATGACATATCTGTTCCATCATCACATACTTCAAACATCCTGAGAATGAAGTGTGTATTTATGCTACTATTCTATATCAAGATTAGCTAAGAAGCCATTGTTGTCGAACACAAGATAGATTATAGTGTGTTTTGGACATGATAGCCTCATGTTGGAGCCTTTTACAATGAAAACTGCTGTAGCACTATTGTCAAGATACTTGGTTGTCAGCCTCATGTTGGAGCCTTTTACAATGAAACTGTGCTGTAGCACTATTGTCAAAATACTTGGTTGTCAGAGCATGACCAAGTTTGTTAGTTTCATATGAAATATGAGAGTAATATGTGCCTAAAGGAAACAACAGCAATAATGTTAAGTATGTTCAGCATTATCAGTAAAATGCTTAATCAAATGGGAAAATATTCCACTTTATACAGCAATAAAATATTCCTTTACTACCTTTTGCGGATTCACATTGGGAAACTTTGACATGTAATATATGATAATGTAAACCAAATTTCTAAGCAAGTTTTACTGTAAATTCAAAAAAACATTGTTTGCTGATTTTGTTAAGTTATCTCATTCCATATCATTGTTTATTTTATCACAAATATAAATTGTAAATAACAGCCAATTATCAATTAATCAGGTGATTATTTTTCCATTATTATTATTATTATTATTATTACTATTATTATTATTATTATTTAGTTCCTTTATTTACCATCTATATACTCGCACTTTCTCCTGAACAAAAATATAACATGTTTGTTTAATCAGCATTTTTTAATGACTACAATATATGAAAAGTACTCTCCAATAGTGTGGGCTGGCCACATGCATGGGTGCAGGTGGGATGAGGATAAAGTGATACATTCTCTCACAAACTTGATAATTGCTGATGTGGCTACATTAAGTAGTGGAAAACTCAAACAATGCAGTAATTGGACATCTACACTTTATGTTCTTTGTTGTTGTGAAAATATACTGATAACCATACATGTCAGTTGTTACATGTTGTTTTCTCTGCCATCTAATGCATTTTGGAGGTGAGGAGGCATCAGTTCAAATTTAGATTTGAAACATTAGTGAATGTTGTAATAGAGAAGAAACTCAAAATAATTTTGAGAAATTATTGAAACAATTCCCACAGTTTGAAGAACATTGAAGTGCTAAACAAATAATGAGAAACTAAAATTTTCTGTTGACTTTAAAATACTTTCACAAATTTCAGGAATGGTTTTTTCATTCATTGTAATCAGTTGTAAATGATACCGAGTATCATCTCATTAATTATCACATCCATAAATTGCAGATGTACATTCCTTGTATTATTGACTGATATACATGTACAGAAGCTTATATGTTAAAAAAAAAAGTTTTAAAGATACTTTATTGATCATTATAACTTAGTAGAAGATAGAATTTATTTTACCAAGTATGTTTTTAATAAGAGCATAGCTGAAGTAACTTCTTAATTTTCAGGTTTATAGGATAGAAGTGTATGTGTCTGGAAGGTGTCAAAGGATTGAAAGACGTTATCGAGCATTTCATGCCCTCCATAAGCAGGTACAGCTTTTAGATAACCTTTATAAGACAAAATATTGTTTATGTTCTGTAATAAACCTTATAATTTGTATTGACTCTCTTAACATGGGGTAGGTCAATTTTTGACTGAGTCACGTGACCTTTTGTACTCGTTTAAAGTCTTTATGAATTTAATACTTATAACTCTCAATATATTGGGTATATCTTCACGAAATTTGGCAGTCTTTCAGTTAATATTACAAGTCTTTCACATACAAAAAGAGATACTTCTTAGTAAAGTATTTTTAATAAAATAAAATAATAATTTGTCCATGAATATATTAAGTATTTGTTTTGAATAGTCCGTGTGCAAAGTAATTTTCTCAAAAATCTCAAATTTCCTTTGTGTAATCCCTAAAACCTCCTAAAATGCATTTCAAATAGTTTTTTCACTAAATTTGTATAGTTTATATGGTATTTTCTCTACTCTATCTCAAAACGGATCGGTCAATTCGACCGACCTCGTAACCACCAAAAACAAATTGAAATAAACCTAAATTAACGTTTTTTTCAAATTGTAACATGAAACTACATTCGTTTATCCTAAGTATCTCTAAGTTCGTAACATTATACATCTATTTATAATTAAATTTTATTGTTTTATTGCCCTTTCAATTTTGTCTAACTACTATCCGCGCCATTATAAGTTGTAAATCTAATTATATTTTATTAATACTTACTTTACCTAATGTAGTCTTAAATAACTTAAAAAGCTCCAATATTTTTATTTTAATCATTTTTATAATAATAAATAAAGAATAAATATGAAAAACAAGAAATAAGGTACTTACCCAATCTTCTTTTTTCTTGCCCTCGATTGTCAAGGAGAGTTAAGCCTGATTTTTTATAGGAATTATAATAAAGCACCTAAATTTTATTTAATAAAATAATGCACCAAAGAATATAGACTAATAACATGCAAAAAACAGACAAATTCACTTATCTCTCAAAATTTTCTTGGCTTTCTATCTATGCAACAAGAGCTGTTACAAATTCATTCAAGCTAGTCGTTAACTTTCCCACAGGAACAATGTTGCTACTCTGAGTGAAATTGATGATTATCTGTTCAGAGCACAACGTTATACAATACGTCATTTGATAGATGAAAACCTTGACTTTTTATTGGTTATAGGTAATATATAATGAAACATAAGAGAGAACTATCAAAAAATTATGAAAGAGAGGATGAGGCAGGAGGGGTCTGATTTTCTATTTGATAGCTTCTTAACCAAACAAAATTGAAGGCTATAAAAATTATGGTCTGTTTGAGCACTAACGATTTTATAGAGAGTATTTTACATTTAATTTTGTACATTTTCGAGGTTGATGGATAAAATAGGGATAATGACATGCTGAGACAAAATGTGTCACGTGGGTCACACTAGTGGAAATTCAGCATCTTTTTATATGTTTCCTTGTAGAATTAAGAACTTAAATCTTGTATACTATTAAAATATGGATTATTAGCTACAATTTTATGCTATTCTAATTGGTATAACATAAACAAAAAGTACTTTAATAAAATTTTGAATGTAAGACACTGAAACCTTGTGTAATGTGTAGTAAAGGGTACCCAGGGAGAGAGGATTAAAATAGTATTAATGAAAGTTCATGATTTCTGACTATTAGTTATGTGCAATTTGTACTGGTCTTTGAGTATTACTTATTATTATATTTTGTTTGTGATAAATATTGTATATGTACATATATGTATCTAGTAAATGTATTATTTTTAGTTGAAGAGATTGGTCCAAACACCAAGTTTTCCACCTAAGAAAATGAGAAACTCCAGTCCAAAGTTGATAGAACAAAGGAGACAAGCTCTTGAACATTATGTACAGGTAATATTTTTGAATCACCAATAGAAGGTCAAGAATTTTGGATAAATTGTGATTGAATTTAACCTTCTTTAGAGATGTTTGTTTCATCCATTCTTTTAACAAGCAAAATGCACTATTCGAGATTGTGGGATAGACACATGCCTGGGTGCACGTAGGGTGAGGAGGAGGAAGTGATATTTGATGCATTTACTCATAAAGCTATTAATGTCTATGTGGCTGCATTTAATATTGGAAATCCCAGAGGATACAGATGTGGATATAATAAATTTTAGATCCCTTTATTCATTTCAAGTGATGATTACAATTGATAGAGTCAAAGCATGATGATTTAGTGAGTGTTCACTGCTTTATAATAAGTGTTTAGTACTGAATGAAATATAATTTTAATTTCTTCTGTCAGTTTATTTGTTCCATTGGTCTTTAGCCATCATTAATTACACAATTTTTTGCACAACAAAATTAAAAATAAATTATTTTATCCATGATTTTACTATTGGACTGTGCCAACTGTAGCATACAAGTGAACAACAAATGGAAAACTACCTGTTAACTCTATAGAGTTTTAAGTTCTTTTTCCAAGCTACAGGCAATTGCTGAAAATTATATGGGTAAGCACTTCAAAAATTTAAATGCATGTAATTAAATTCATCATACCTCTTGAGCCACAAAATATCAAAACTTTTTCGATCCTCATTCACAATGTTCTTTCACTGGTTTAAGGCCCAGTGAAAGCCTTTCAGCATTCAAGAAAGCAAATCTTTAATACATATCACTAAAAAAAAAATCCTGTAATAAATCATGTTTTATGGAATATTTTCCTTATTTTTATTTATCTTCAACATGTGTGTATATATATATGTGTGTGTACACTGTAATTTGTACCTATTTATGGTCATATTCTCTGTTTGTAAATTGCTAAATAATTGTTTTTTAACATGATTTCTTTTACTGTCATAGATGAGGTAATTTTTTAGTTTGAAGTTTAATTCCAAGTAGTTATTGAACAATCTGTAAAATAAATATTTAGAAACAAAAGTATGATGACAAGTAAAATAGTAAAAACTAACTTACAGAAATAAGGAAAATAGTAAATAATACAAAGAAAATATACATTACTTTTAAGTTACTATGGTAGTC